ATTGGAGTTAGAAATTCAGAAAGAAGCCTCCAAATAAGAGGGTGGACGGAAGGGTTATTATTGAAAGTGATGATATTGGTCGAGGAAAGATCACTCATCATTGGCACAAAGGTCTGGTCATCGAGCTCGAGTGAGGTTTAGCTTTTAACGCCTATTGGTACGAAAACCACGAGACAATGAAGGTCGAGTTCCCATATGAAATTCAATTGGATGGCACCGTCGGCAGTCCGACCCTTCTCAAGCTGTTTGTAAACAGGACAATGCCGAAGAAGATGGTCTTAGACTTGAGCTTGCGATTCAGCCGCCAACTTGATGGAGCAACGATGGAGGGCGCGACGACAGAGTTGCCACTGTTGAGGGACAGAACGGAGCTGGCAGTGAATGGGGAAGAGGACGGTGACTCTCTCTCTCTCTCTCTTGATTGACGTTGCTACCACTGTCATGGTTACCTCCGCCATCTCAAGTCAGCTGATGATGACTTCATCACTCGGCTCCTCCGTCTTCAACAAACTTGATGAGGCTAGCATTGTGGTGGAAGAAGCAACGACTAGAATGAATGAAATAACCAATCCAGGTAATTTATGTGGGAGTTGTCCTTTAATGCACAAGCCTTGTGCTTTATCTCCAGGGACGCTAGTTCAGAATATCCAAATAGAGACCATCAATGGGGAGGGAATCCAACAACAGGGGTGTTGCACAATTAAGGGAAGTGAATTGTGGATGGAACGTGGAAATGAATGCATGCGTGCAAGTGGGAAGAGGAGGTTGTGTTATGCCATGCTTAGGGTGCAAGATGGAGAGGAAAGAATTTATGGGAAGTTAGGGCTTGTCTTAATCACCATTAATTCAATGGAGGGTATGGAGCACTCAACTATTGAGTTCCCAGGCTTTAGTGATGGCGGACACAAGAAGGAGCAACTAGTGGGTCACTGTTTGAAAGAGTCAAGGAGGGAGGATGAAAACAGGTCGAGCTATGTCGTTCAAAAGAACCCAGCGAAGGATGGAGTTGCTTTTGCTAGGAGTTTTGCTCGAGTCCTTGAACGGAATTGGAAGAGTAGGAAGCGCGAGCAACAGTTTAGCTGTTGTGGAAGAAAGTCGAAGTGCAAAATTGACATTCACTACAACCTTGAGGACAAGGTTGTTATCAAGCGGTGGAGAATGTTAGAAATATTATTATTAGGGTTTCATTTATTAATAATGGTAGGATAATTATTATTATGATTAGTAGTCTTTTAGTAGAATTAGGTTTATTATTAGGGTTTCTCGAGTCTTTCGTTATAAATATGTGTTGACTTGATATATACACATGTTTTTATCCATCATTCTTATGCCGTTTGAGCCTCATTTCTCGTATCTTAGGCCGATTTCACGCTAGGTTGTTCTTGTTTGTGATATTTTAGGTCCTAGTACGTGATTGGAGGTTTGGGAACGAGTTCGGGGTTGATTGGACGAAAGTTGGACGTTTGGCGAGAAGCTGAGGAAACCACACGATCAGACCTAGCAGCCACACGGCCGTGTGGAATCCCATTACGCGGACAAGACCACACTGGCCGTGTACTGGGTCCCTTGAGGCCGTGTGGAAATTCCAGGGAAGTCACACGGGCAAGCCTGTTTTCTACACGGCCTTGCAGCTCTGGCCGTGTAGTAATCATGGAGGCACTTAATTGAAACGTTGCGTTTTGGCTCTCACACGGGCAGACTGGGAATCCACACGGCCGTGTGGTTGGGAAATTCTGGGTTTTAACCCAATTTCGAGCCTAAGAAGAGGGAATTGAGTTTTTGAGAAAGAAAAAAAAAACAGAGCTTTAGAGAGAGAGAAAGTGCGAAGAACAAACCCTAGGAGCTATTTGGAGTGGATTTATCACCATTGAAGCCCAGATTGTATCCCCAGGAGTGAAGATCGACATCCCAGAGCAGATTATCCTCACCTTTATGAGTATGACTATTCTGATTTCTGTTTTCCTCTCTCTCTCTATGGAGTAGAACCCTCTCTCACTTGGGTATGAAGAACCCGAGTTCCATGTATTAGGAATCTTGATTGTAATGACTTGGGATTGATATACTGATCGGTTATAATCGATTGGTGCATGATTCATTGAGTCAATTGAAGTCTGATCACCTTTTCTTGATTTCTGCTGCAACCTGAGATAGATAGAATCTAATTAGGTTGTAAGAGCTTCATCAATCGGTAGTGGTAGATTGGTTATACGAGAGTTAATCGGTTTACTGCTTTGTACTGGAAACCGAACCCAGTAGTGGAGTTCTGTGCTTATTGCCTTAGCAGTCTATCCCGGTGAAGGTTAGTCGTCTACCGGTTAGCCTGCCTGAGAGGACTTGGTCAGCTTAAGAGATTCCAAGCTACTGTCGGATCTTCCGTAGTTTAATCAATAGTTAATCAACCCAGGGTAATTACAACCTTGACCTAACTAAGGATCTAGGGGCACTCATTCCTGAGTGACTCTTCCCTTGCTAAAGAACTTTGAACCATTTCCTGCTTTCTTACTGCTTTTAGTTAAAATCACAATCACTCGACTTAGTTTGCTAGATAATAGATAATCACGGAGTAAGCAGTATATCTAGACCCCGGGTTGACAAATAGAGCTTGCCACTTACTGCATTTCCGGACTGCGATTACACTTGTCGCAGTTTGGTGTTGTGTTTTAGCGTGTCAAGTTTTTGGAGCCGTTGCCGGGGAACTTCTAGGTTATTGTGGAAACGTGAAAGGTTGTTACTCTAGTTTCTTCTTTACTGCATTTTCTCTCTTCCACCTGTGTGCCTTCACGGGTTGCATTTGCTGATCGCGTGCAGGTAGTGCATGACCCGTAGCCTGTCGGGAGATTTACTACCATTAGACCAAGAGCTTGAACGGACTTGTAGGAACTTAAAGCGGGCTTTAAAGGCGCGACTGGCTGCAGAGGAGGCTCTAGCACAGCTGCAAATCGTCGAGGAGGAAGAAATGGGTGACCCACAGAACAATTATGTAGTCATTCCCGAGGAGTAGACCATGGGGTATTACTGGACTGCTAGAGCCGCGGACATGAGGTCGCCCATCCAGCACCCTCAAGTTCCAGAAAATAAATTTGAGGTGAGCACCTCTGTCATCACCATGCTGCGCGGCTCGGTGGTGTTCCGTGGCAAGGAGGGGGAGTGCCCCTGATCACACCTGAGGCGATTCCACGAGCTCATCGATGGGATCAAGATCAATGGGGTTCCAACTGATGCCATCCAATTGAGGTACTTCCCATTTACTCTGGAGGGGCAAGCCAAGGAGTGGCTGGACACTCGACCTCCAGGCTCGATCACCACGTTCGCCAACTTGGCGAACAAGTTCCTCACCCGCTATCATCCTCCGTCCAAGACGGCGGACCTGCAGAAGCGAATCACCCACTTTGCTCAGGATGAAGATGAGACCATCCGGGATGCTTGGGAAAGATACACCAGTCTTTTCCTCAAGTGTCCCAACCATGGTTTTACTGACGCCTTCAAGGTGGGCACCTTCTACCATGCCCTCTTCTCGGAAGACAAGCAGTTGATTGACTCAGTTTGCGGCGGGAATATGCTCACTAAGACACCGCCACAGCTGAATCAACTTTTTGAAGAGATGGCAAAGCAGGGATATGATTGGGGAACTGCGAGGAGATCGAGACGAGCACCAGGGTGGGGTGTGCATGATGTAGCCACCCAGTCGTCTGATTTGGTGCAGGTGGTATCTAAACTGGTTTCAGCCATCGATCGTTTGGGAATGATCCCAGGGGTAGGACAGCAGCAGGCGATGCATTGTTAGTGGTGCGAGAAACCCCATCATACTGTGGAGGACTGCCAGGCCATGCGTGAGTCCAGTACACCCCAGGAGCAGGTGAACTTCATCAACAATGTCAGGCGCAACGATCCTTACAGTAATACCTACAATGAGGGATGGCGCCAGCATCCAAATTTCTCCTAGAGTGGCAACAAAAATCCAAAGCCACCTGGCTTTTAGGCTCCTGCAACTAGTTTTCCAAACCAGAGGCAGCCATACCAGCCTCTCCCGGGCCAGATGCAGCAATAGCAACCACTTTATCAGCCCATACAGGGACAGGTTTTTCAATAGCCTCCACAGCAGCAATACCAGCAGCCTGGTGCATCTCCATCAGTCCCAGCACCGGGCGATCCCGTGTCAGAATTGAGGGATCTAGTGACTACCTTGGCCAGCACTAGTACCCAAAAGTTCAATAAATTGGAGCAATTCATGGAAGTGGCTGCAGGCAAATTCATGGAGATTGAGGTTGGCCAGAGACACCAGCAGGCACTCTTGTAGGATATGGACACCAAGATCGGGCACCTGGCAGATGCCCTTGCTTCCAGACCGGCTGGCATGCTTCCTGGCCAGAAATCATAAGGAGGGTTTGCACGCCATTATGTTAAGAAGTGGGACTGTAACTGCGGATGCACCGCAGAAGAGTGCCAAGACGGTGACCCAAATCACCCCAGAGCCGGAAGAAGACCTGGTGATGGAAAAGGAGCCAAAGGCTCAAGCTCTAAAGCCACAACCAGTAGTGGCTGAATATAAGCCTAAGCTCCCTTTTCCCACCAGGATGTACAAAGACAGGCTAGAGGCAGAGTTCGGCAACTTCTCGTCCATGCTTAGGAAGCTGCATGTTCAAGTGCCCTTCATGGAGGCACTATCTCAGATGCCTAAGTATGCGAAGTTCCTAAAGGAGCTTCTCTCGAAGAAGTGGAGGCTGAGCGATCTGGCCACTGTGGAGCTCAGTGAGGAGTGCTTGGCCATTCTGCAGAACAAGCTTCCGTCGAAGCAGAAGGACCCATGTAGTTTTACTATCCCATGCTCTATTGGTAAATTGCATGTAGAGAGGTCCTTGGAGGATCTAGGTGATAGTATTAATGTGATACCATATACATTGTTCAAGAAACTAGGCCTAGGTGAACCCAGTGCAACAAGGATGAGTATTCAATTAGCTGACCGATCTGTAGTCCATCCTAGGGGCAAAGTGGAAGACCTTCTAGTTAAGGTGGGCATATTCTTTTTTCCTGTAGATTTTGTTGTCTTGAACATCAATGAAGACGCAGAAGTGCCACTCACAAGACGAATCGAATACACGTCTAGCTGAGACGAGATCACAACATTTTTCATACATGCTCACTAGCAGATTGTCAATAGCATCTTCACCCTCACATCCGGTTTTGATTGTTAGAGAATGGACCGTCGAAGCTACCAACAGGTCGCCATGCTGGCTACAAGCTGATATGATTGCGAAGAAAGATACATAATCCAGGCTGATGGTTTTCCTCCTCATCTGGTTAAACACAGAGAAAGCTTCTTTCATGTGTCCAGCTTCCACATAACCGCTAGTCACTGTTGTCCAAGAGATGACCGACGGTTCTTGCATCTGCTCAAGGATTGCACGAGCTTCATGAGTTTGACAGTGTTTGACGAGCATACCCATCACAGAATGAGTTAGAGGCACCTCAACGTCACCATTCAGGAGCCCCATTTTGAAGGCACAACACTGGGTTGATAAGCCCTGCAGAAGGGAGCTACAAGCAGGAAACAACACAAGGAAAGTGGTCGAACTTGGTTCCAGACCAAGAGCCCTCATTTGGTTTATCACAGAAACGACTTCGTCAACGAGAGAAAAATGGCAATAAGTAGTGATCATGGAGGTCCAAGACACAACGCCTCTCTCAGACATTTCGTCGAACACCTTCCTCGAAGAAACCAAGTTGCCGCACTTGGAGTACATATCGAGGAGAGATGTCTGCACGTAGACGTCCACCTGGAAACCCAGATGGGTAACATGGGAATGAAGCATTTTCCCGACGTGGATGGCGTCGGGGAAGAAGAACGGGCTTTAAGGACCATCGGGTAAGTAAAGTTACTACCACCACCTACCCTAGATTGCAGGATGGAATTGTAGAGATCGAGAGTTTGTTTGTTAAGGCCATGATTTGTGGCGTCCCGTATATTCAAATTCCACAGATACAGCGACCTTCTGGAGCTGAAAGACGGCAACTTTCTCATCTTCGTCTATATTCCCGTCTCCAGCATGGCGCAGAAAACTAGAAAATTCGGGAACCAACCTACAAAGACTCCAGGTTTTCGCAAAACAAAATCTACAACTTGGGTTTTATTACTGATAATGGATTCAAATTCCGCACAGAGCATTACAAGTTGCTTCTGATCACACCCAACTCAGAATGGAATCCAATACAAAGTGAAGAAACAGAAAGGCACAGGTACAAAGATTTTATATGCATCCTCTTGGTACTTGGCAGCTACAGGGTTGTTACTTTTGAATGATGATATACATCTTGCAGGCATGGGGATCCAAGTCCGCCGAGATTTGTTCCTTCACCTTTGCTTCGGTGGTGTGCTGCAGTACAAGAAATTCAGAACAAGTCATCAGCAAATCAAATCAATTCAATTCCACAGTCAAATTAGTTCATGAAGAACAGAAGAAACAATTTTATCTTTTCTCTCACCGCCCATAAATCTCTGACATCCACAAGGGCGAAGGAAGGGACGCCAATATCAGAGAAGTTAGCAGCGACTTTAGCTGGGGAAGAACCCCTGTTCCAAAGCACTACTGCCACTCTCTTTTGGCTGAGAGGACCAGCCCACACCTCCAAGTCTCCATCTTTCTTAACCTTCTTCCCCTGCACTCCAAGTTTGTCTGAAAAGAACCATCCCATTTTCAGCACAACTTGTCGGATTACAGCCATGGTGTTTGTAGATCATCATCATATACGTTGATATTACCTTGGTTCACTGCAATCACTTCACTGTTGCTCAGAATTTGGTGGGTGTCGAGGTCCATCGATCGAATGTCGCACCCGAGTATGAGAGGAGCCTTGGCTAATGCCCAGATGCTAAAATGTGACCTGTACTCCTCATTCGTCATGCCGCCATTCCCAACTTCAAGCATGTCAGGATCTACCCACGGAGTAAAAGACATTGGAAATGTTCAAACGAACGAATAAGTCTCTGCCTTTGACAGTGAAAAAGTGAAATAGTTACGAGCGTTATGCTGAGTGTACCGTTCCATCCTCCAGGTCCAGCATAAGATGCCCATTTATCATTTTTATCTGCACGGTTTGTCATTCTGGGGAATACAAAGCAAAATAAGGATCATTATCGGCCTAACAATTTTCGCTTTAAGGTAGGACTATGGCGCGACTTCGTGGGAAGGATACCTCTCCCAGTTATCAGCAATATCCCCAGTTGTTCTCCAGCTATTACCAACACCGGGACCCCAAGTTGCAGGGTCTTCAACTCCCCTGCCAACAACAAACACATTGACAGTAGTCCAACATTGAATCTGGAAGAAGAAGAAGAAGAAGAGGGGGAAAAGGATGTCGTACCATTCACAGAGGGAAAAGAAGATGGGTCTTCCTGTCTTCAACAATGCTTTACTCATTATCGGATACCTCACTTGAGGGCTTGTGCCATCAGTATGACAATTATCATATTTCAGAAAATCGATTTCCTGCAGAAGAAGAAAATGATCAAACACAGTTCAAGATAATCTTAATTCCATTTGTAGAGAAGTGAATTAGAGATCATGTTGCATATAGTATGATGATGGATACCCATGAGGCAAATGTTTTGGCATCTTGTTCCTCATAGCCCAATGATCCTGGTTGTAGCTTGCTGCATGTCAGATTCCTGCAACAACTCAAAAGATTACTCCTACATTATTATCCGATGCATCAAGTCGAAATAGAATTCGAACGGAGAAAATGGTGATTTCGCTTACCCTGCATCAGAGTAGATTCCCAGCTTGAGGCCTTTGGCATGAACATAATCCGCCAACCCTTTGATTCCAGCAGGAAATGTTGTTGCATTAGCAACCAAGTTTCCCGCAGAGTCCCTCTGACGTTCAGCCCACGCATCATCTTCCAATGCATTCCATCAAAGAAGAGAGACAGGGAAAGAGAAATTTAGGAGATGAAAAGAAAAAACAAAGGCGCAGGGCAATGCCGCCTTCAATGGCGTAGTTGTACAACAGAGTCATGTTTGAGGAAAATAGATATATACAGCACCTAAGTTGATGTATTGATATCCCAATGCAGCAAGTCCAGATGAAACCATGGCGTCCGCTTCAAACACAAATTAGAAAGTGATATACTAGTGTTAGTCACACTTGATTGTAGACATGCATCAAGAAATTATATATTAGCTCTATGAATGAAGAAAACTCAATTGGTTTTGTTTTAGCTATGGTTTCACAATTCTATAACCTCAATATACTCCTTGTTTACGAGAAAATATTATTTTAATTAAATTAAATCCTGTGTAGAATCTTCATATTTATTTAGTAATAATATATCGTATCAAGTTGGCCAAACTAAGATCTAAGACTTGAACCTGTATCAGTATATATATGAAACAAAGTTCCTTCGCACGCACATCTGATAAAATTAAAAAAATAACTAGCAAATACTTAGTTTATATTATATATATGAAATGATTAGAGGGGAAAAAGAAAACCTGTTTCTCTTATGATCTTCTCTGAAATTGTCCAGTGGAAATGGTTATAAGTATTCCACCTGTTTAGACACCAGCATATAAGCAAAGGTGATGAACATATATTATTTTGCCGTGTAAAATCATATCATAATTTTATAATAAGTAAACAAATTAAAGGACCATAAGTAGGTGATAATTGACAAAACACACCAAAGAGTTATCAATATGAATTCTTGTTGGATTCATCACAAAAAATGAACATATATAGTTTATCTTAGATTTTCTATCAAGACTTCAAGAGTATCCATTCTAAGATCCTCAAACCAAAGGAGGAAGCCAAAAAAAAAAAAAAAAAAAAAATTGAACTTGAACTAGTTCCGAACTTAACGCTCTCAAATAGTTCAGTCATAGTCCTTATAAAAATAAGCGTAAAAACATATTCATACATTATTAATCGTTCGCTCATGGATCAAATAAACTAGTCAAGAAAGGACTGAAAAAATATAACAACGATCCTCATATATATATGCATACCCCATTGGCGGTGTTAGACCCAATCCATTGGCCAAAAGATTCCTCCGACCCAAGCCAAAGTGGGCGGCGGCACCTCGACCCGCCGCTTCAACACCGCCGGCGCTTAAGAACTCCACGGTGGCGTAGATTTGAACCAACATCGCTAAAGCCACCATCATAGCGTGAGGAGGAGCCATATTGGTTGTTATATGAATTGGAATATATATATAGGATACGTTTTATATTTATAACTGAGAGAGCTAGCTAGCTAGGTGGAAGAGTGGAAAATGGGGAACTGGGTATTTATAGAGTAAGCATGCAGAACCTCGATCGAGCTCTATTCTCTGACCAGAGTAGGCCGGCAGCATATATTGTTGCAGACTTCTCAGCTGTTCGATTTCTCCTATAATTCAATCCCCTTTTGGATTTTGTCAACTATCATTACTTAATTAACCAAAACAAGGTGCACTTGGGTGTTGACGAACAACCTCCCAGCACATGAAAACAAAAGGAACAATGTTTTTCTAATGTTTTTTTTTTGGGGTGATAGATAATGGTGAGATTATTATGATTAAGATAACGCTTCTAATTTATGTCTTACTCATTTATGTCACCATTTTAATCTAAAATGCAAAAAAATTCAATTTATAAGATTGTTTGGAAAAATATCACTTGCCCAATAAAATTGATAATATAATTTTCTCACATGGTGGATTGGAGACGTCAGAACACTTCCTTTCTCTATTGTCATTTTCTGGGAGAAAAATGATTCTTCACATCGGCCATGGACTGTTGTAAGAGATTATGTGAGTGTAGGTATTGGCCGGCTAATCATGTCATAAATCCAAGTAAATTAATTGATAAACAAGTATCAAGTAGTAGGGATTACTTTTCACTTCTATTTCGTTTTCTTTCCCATCTCTTCTATCATTTAGGGGTGGGCAACGGGACGGGACCGGGTACTCGTCCCATTTGAAACGGGTACCCGTTCCCATTTGGAGAGAAAACTACTTCCCATGTTTCAAACCCGTACGGATTAACGGGTAACCAATACCCGTACGGGACGGATAACGGGTACCCGCGGGTAACCCATATTAGCGGTTGTTGTGCTAACAATTAGTACAAGGAAGAAAAAGAGAAATGGGAGATTGCTTGGTAGCCAAGTCGTATGGTAGGACATTAATAAGATACACGTGATGAAATATTATAATTTATTCCCTTAATTAATCAATTTCTACAACCCTGAAAATCAACTGATCCTAGTTTGATTATGTGTTTCCAGAACTGCAACGTACACAACATATAGTTATGTAACTTTGTTGACATTTTGTGTTGGTGGCCGACTCCTACTTCTCGCAGAAATTTTCATCTTTTTATAAATATGACATCATCTCATTAAGGCTGAAAATAACAAGCAATAAAAAGTAGGAGAAAGTTCATGGAAGGCGCTCTTAAAAAATAGAAAACATTAAGCCAACAGTAGCTACATCATGCTAGGTTTGATGTTCGTTGTTTTCAAACTAAGGGATCAAGTGCGACTTGAGCCAAAGCAGCTACTCAGCAGTCCCCCTGTAACCTTATGTACGCCTCAACTCCTTTCATTAATCCTTAAAGTTCAATTAGTTGAATTACTTAGCTATCATCTAAATAAAAGGACAATTTTCGTGGTTGGACGGGTAATACGGGTAGCCGTAATATCCAAACGGGTATTAACGGGTAACCCGCGGGTGCCCATTATAGAACTTATTGATTCCAAGTCCTATCCCGTATAAAAAATTATAGGTATTTGGGTACCCATAACCCAAAAAAAAAACGGGACAATATGGGTAT